GGAAAGAGTAGGGCATCTTTCTCTCAGACAGGAGAAATACAAGAAATCAAAGTTCCAGATTTTAGATAAACAGCTGGATTTTAACTCTAGCAGAATCTCTTCTGATTTACTTTAGGTAAAGAAAGCTAAACTGTGGTCCAATATCTCATTTAAAATTTAAAGTCACAGGTAAATTAAGAAAAAGCAGAGAATTCAGGCATGCAGGTTCTCAAGAAGTCTTCAGGACCTCCCCCGTCCCGAAACAACTGGCATACAGCTGTAAGGAGAACTGATCTGATACACAGTTCTGTAAATACAGGAGGGGCCAACAATGAGATCAGATACACTACCCTGCAGTTTCCCCTCAAAGAGATGCTTGTTTATGAGTGGAGAAGAAATGCTTTAAAAACAATGCTTTAAAATAAAACTACTTACGTTCCTTCTTCTCTCAGAAGAGCCAAGAATTTTTTCACCCGATACTCAGGATCCATCTAAACACCAAACAAAACAGATCTCCATTAATGTGATGCAATCTTTTAAGTAGCACAGTAGGAAAACGAGGCCACAGATATCTGTGTCTGCTTCTATCTCCCCCTTTCCAGAGCTGGGGGAGCAAATAAACCAGTCCAGAGCAGAAGGGACTGACAATGCCCTCAATTCTCCTCTGTCTTCCTCCCCCCTTACAGCTCCATCAGGAAAGCAGCAGAGGAGAGGAGCTGTGTGGGGTGGGTTAGCACACAAGGGAAAGCTGAATCACAGCAAAAGGCTTCCAGAACTCACAGTACCAAGTTGTGTTGTGGCTCCATCAACCAGGAACACCCCCCCTAAAGATCAGTCCTGCCTCTCCCCCAGCACTGAGGTAGAGACAACAGGGAACTGGGAGGAAAGGTTACGATGGAGACAGACCCGGGCTGCCATCAGAAGACACCACTTCTGTATAACTGCATCAGTCCTTTGTGCTGATGCATGGGCTTGTTGCAAATTGGCCATGCCTACACCAAGGTATAGCAAGTTAAGACTATAACCATTTGGAAATTGGAGACCGTTGGTTCTCAGAGTGTCTTTGTGTTGAATTGCAACAGTTCATTTGGCCTAGAAACTCCAACTTCTGTTCATTCTGTAATCTTCATCCACATCTTGTATCTTTAACATACTGCCAAAAAAGCAGTGGGTTCATTCTGAAAACATTCAGTAACTGGTACTGTGAAACTGACTGGTTGTAAGATTCCCAGCTCTACCACCCACTTGGTAATAAACAGGCAAGTGTTCTACTAAAACATAAAACTGGGACTTATCCTTGGAGGGGGGGAAGCAAAGCTTCAGCATGTGCTCTGGCCTCACACCAAAGAGGCAGAACAAGGGCTCTCGAACTCCTCTACCACATGTTATACTCCTAAAGAAAAATTTCCACCAATTCCAGATGTGAAGAAGCCATCTACTTAAAACCATAACCACTGCATTGAGGGCAACACAAATGTCTTTAAAAACAGCTTAGAAGAAGATACAACACAAAAAAACTCAACAGCAGCATTACCAGTGATGCAGGTAGGGAAGGAACAGCCAGTGAGAATTTCCCCTATGTGCTAAGAGAAAGCTTAAAAATATGTAACTTCCCATCACTTTGAAATATTTCAGTGAGGCCAATACCTCAATGCCAACTACTGAACTATTTTTAGATCAGAAAAATAAATTCACTCAAACAAGATGATTTAAAGGAACTTACTGAGGTTCACTGAGCTATTAAGTTGGGTTTTTAACATGCAAAGGAATACTGGTAATGTTCAGGATCCCCAAAGAAAAGAAAGGCTACCCCACCACCTAAAGCAGTGTTTGGAATGTATAATGCACGGGTACAAAGAGAAGGACTCTTGTGCCACATATCTGTGTCTGCAGTATCCCTCTAGCCTAAATCTTCTCCACAATCTCTCCCAGTCCACACTTGGCTGCCAGGGGAAAGCACATCTGTCCCAATTTCAGCTCTTCCATTTCTAGGTGTAGATGTGGTGCTTAGGGACATGGTTTAGTAGTAGTCTTGGCAGTGTTAAGTTTATGGTTGGACTTGATGATCTTAAAGGTCTTTTCCAACCTAAATGATCCCATGATTCTATGATTCTATCAGAAAGGCAGAAGACAATTAGGATAGGAGTACGTGCACGTGGGCTCACAACCTGAACACAGATTACTTGGAAGTCCCTTTTCTCTGGGGGAATCCACACATGTAATCCTCACTGTAAGGCTAAGCCTGTGACTCTCACCTGGCAAAGGGTCTTGGATCTTCCCCATCCAAAGAAATCTGGTCTGACCATGTGGCTGATCCTGCTTAAACAGGAGGTTGGACTAGATGACATCCTAAGGTCTCTTCTGACCCTATTTATCTTACAGTCCTATGACAACTCAACCACCTCTCTTCCTATATTTTTTGATATTTCCAGAATGGCTAATTCTTCATAAAGGTGTGACCACAGCTCCAGCTGGCCACACAAAGTGTCATTTACTGGTAAGTACAGGCTAAATAACTGGGACAGTGCAGCGGACTGAAAACTGGTTAAACTGCTGAGTTCAAAGGGTTGTGATCCATGGCACAAAGTCCAGTTGGAGGACAGTCACTAGCAGTATATGCCAGGCATCCATATGGGAGCAAATATTGTTTAACTTCGTTATTAACAAACAGGATTCAGGGACAGCATGCCCTCAGCAAGTTTGCAGATGACGTTGAGTGGGGAGGTGTGCTTCACGCATTTGATGATGGTGCTGTCATTCAGAGAGACCTCAGCTGGATGTAGATACAGACTGACATAAATCTCATGTAGTTCAACAAAGGGAAATGCAAGGTCTTCTGCCTAGGCAGGAATAACCCCATGCAACAGTACAGGCTGGAGGACAACTGGCTGGAAAGTGACTTTGCAGAAAAGGACCTGAGGGTCCTGGAGGACAAGTTGAACATGAACCAGCAATGGGCCCTTGCAACAAAGATGACCAATAGCATCCTGGGCTTCGTTAGGAGGAATGTTGCTACCAGATCCAGGGAGATGATTCTTCCCCTTTTCTCAGTGACACCACACCAAGAGGACAGTGTCCAGTTCAGGGGTCCCCAGTAGGAGAGAGACAGTGACATCCCAGAGAGAGTCCAGCAAAGGGTCACAAGGATGATTAAATGTCTTGAGCATCTCTCATACAAAGAGAGGCTGTGAGAGGTAAGATTGTTTGGTCTGGAGTAGAGAAGACTCGGGATTGGGGAGGGAAGAATGACTCTTACCAATGTGTATAAATACCTGATGGGAGGGAGTAAAGAAGAAGAGAGAGAGAGACACTCCTCTGAGTGGTGCCCATTGACAGGGAATAAGGTCACAGGCACAAATTTAAATGTAGTTCCATGTAAACAGAAGAGAAAGGTTTTCATTGCAAGGGTGATCACACACTATTAGGGACTGACCATGGAGGTTATGGAGTCTCCATCCTTGGAGGTACTCAAGACCCAACCGGACATAGCCCACTCAAGACCCAACCGGACATGTCCCTGAGCAACCTGTTCTAGTTGATCGTGCTTGGTCAGAGCAGGGGGTTGGACTAGACAAAGATGAAAAAAATGCCATGGGTGCAATTAGCAGAGCCAAAGGACCTTGGTGGAACCTTAGGAAACCAGGGAAAAGTCATCACAGTCAGGAAATAACAACAAAGGACCAATCAGACAGTCCTATTAAAAAAACCCCAGCATGATCTGAGACAGATATACATAGACAAAACTCTTCTTTTCATTCCCAGAAAATTTGTACTAATGCCACCAGCTGAAATTCAAACTTGCCAATGCCAGTGTTCTGTTTCCCAAATCAAACATGCTGCCTCACCACCCCTTTTCACTCAGGCATAAGCAAGTGGCCATGGTAAGACACTGTCCATAATCTGTACTGACACAGTTTCTACAGATTCTTTTTGGGAGGAACAGCGTTTATCTGCAGACAATATCTTGTCCAAAAGACCAAAGCAGGAAACTGAAAGGCAGCAAAGAGGCAAACTTGATCAGATAGCTTATTAAAAAATGCAAGACACAAAACCAGAAGATGGTGTCAATATAGTGCGAAGAGGAAGTAGATTTGGGACTCTTGACCAGACCCTCTACTGCCCTGTGAAAGGAGAAATGCTGCTGCCAAGCTGGATGAACGATTTTCAGGAACAGCGTGGAGACTAACTCTGTGACACAGCTCAGAGAGGTGGCAAGAAAATGGCTCTTCCTTTCTAGGTACTGCAGTATCTCCAGGACACGCCTGGGAGCCCTTAGGAAAAAAGGCAACTGAAGAGACTTCATTAATCTTCAGTCCAGAGAAGAGGAGATACTCCACCAAGACGTGCATGCCTCTGGGTAGCACAGTACTGGTGTAAACCTGTCATAAAATCCAAACTCTTAGTATGTCCAGATACAGCGTTTAGCTTAAAATAATACAGGCAATATTATATGGTAATCTTTCAAAATAAGTTCCCGTGTAAGTTAGAATACGTTACAGACAAACATCTTAGATTAACTGAAGTTTTACTTATGCTAAACAGAAGTTACCAAATCAGGAAATACTGGAGGTGCAAAAAGGGGCTTTCTGGAAAGCTGCCTGGCTCATTCAGGTTCCTGCTCCAAGAAGAGAGACCTTGGGTTTTGGAGCCTTGCCAGCAAGGTCCAAGCAGGCAAAATAAGGAGAAGGAACCTGCTAGCTATGGAAAAAGAAGGCTCACATATCCAGCAGCACCCCAGGGTAGGGTTGCAGCATCAGGGCAGAGTGAAGCTAGCGTGGCACCCAATAGCACTGTGAGGTGGTCCGTGTACTGCAGCCAAGGATACTTCAGAACTAAACTTTTCCGGATTCACATGGCAAATCATGAGTGTACCCATTCATCAGAGACTTCTTTTGAACAAGAACATAACATCGTTCCAGGACACTGAGTGTACACAAGATGGCCAGAGTATGTGACACTAAATACAAGTAGTTTGACATTAAAGAAGGGCAGGAATAGCAATAAACATAGTTTGAGGGAAATTAAGCTGCCAAAATTGTGGGGTTTTCAAGGCTCCTAAACAAGGTAACAAAGCAACCCAAGATACCAGAGCCATGCAATGGTTCATGGTACTCCAAGAAAGGATCTTAATATTGAGAGACTGGTTCAGCAAGACTTCAGTCTGAAATAAACTGAAAGTCATTTGAACAGCTTGAGAATACCTACATACAGCATATACTGGGTTTACTACTCTAATAAAACCAAGAAACAGATTCAGTGACTGCAGAGAAAGAAACTAAGTGCACATTTTTTGCAAAGAATTCATTCACCATGGAATCTAATCAGCTGAATTTTGAGAAATTTCATCCATCACTTAAGAGTTTTTAAGGGATTTCAAACTCAAATCTCTTTCTAAAAAGCTGTGTTCCAACTCAGTGCAAAAAGGAAATAGTCATGAACTTCCCATTTGGTGAAATTCTGCTTTCCTGTAAAAGCTAGCCAGATCAGATAGCACTGTGGTCTTTCAATGCATTCAAGTATGACTGTTCTCCTACTTAGTGAGAGCCTGTATTGCCTTCCTGTATTTATAGCAGTTCAGCAGATGGAGTCATGTAAACACCTCAGACCTTTTGGAACAGAACTTCTTCATATTTAGCTTCCATATGCTGTTACCTAGCTATTACACAATTACCTGAATTGAGTGTAATAACATAAGTCGCCTTGCTACCAACCATCCATGTATAGTAGCAAAGGTGGATCACCAACCATCTATAGACAGTAGCAGCCCTTTGTTGTACGCTTTTTCAATTTGTCAGAAATAGCAGAGAGTCGTAGTTCTGCCTGTCTTCTCCCAGCCTGATTGGTCACAGATTCATCTACAAAATGGTGGTCTAGTTAAAAAAAAACGCAGAAGACCAGTTTACCCATCTGCACAGTCTAGGGAAGCATGAAGTCTCCCTATCATCATAGGTGTGCAGCCATGGGGCGATGCTGTGAACAAGGCTGGGGTAAGCATTTCCACCCATCTCCAGATTCAGAACTGCCCATAATTTACATAACCTTCACCTTCAGTTTTGAAAAGAACCAACACTTAAGGTCAAAGCAGCAAAAGAAAACGTCCTGTTTCAGAAGAAGGAACCCATTGTCAAGGCTAACTGAAATGGGCTGCAACAGAGCCAGGCAGTCCCTGAAGGTCTGCACCCCTTAAATACATTTAATACATGTGAGCAATGACTTACTGACTTGCCTGTAGGTATGGAATTAAAAGCCAAGGAAGAAGAGGAAAAAGTAATCTAGATAAATGACTTTATTCCCTGAGGTGACATCCAGTCAGAGCATATCCTTAGTGCTGTGCAAGTTTTAACAGAATTGTGAATAGTGAACAGAGGGATACATGACTTATATGCTGCTAAACTACATGCCTCTTAGCTTATGCTCAGCCTCTCCTAGGAAGATCTAAGGACAGTTCACTCAGCTGCACTAAATCCATTTGATGTGAAAAGAGAGTGTGTGCGAGGGGGGGAAGAACTCAGAAGGGCGCTGAAATGTCAGCCACAGAGGATTAGGGCTGCACGCTACGCCCTCTCATTTTTAGCATGCATATACTGTCGAGCACAAGCTTGATGGCTGGCTTGCAGGCATAGATGATGGGTGCGGGGGAGGGTTAAGAGCTACATATTTCTACCCTCTGCAATTATTTTCTTTAAAGTGCTGAAAGTGGAAAATAAAGAGAAGAGCAGCTGAACAGCCTGACAGATTTATCTTCTTCAGGGATAGAACCAATACACCAGCAGAGACACCTTTTTCTTTAAAAAAAAAAAATCCTAAGTGATTGCTATCTGCAATCTCAACATCTTGTGTGTAGAGAAGAAATTTCATGAAAGGTAAGTTAATCCAATCCCTCCAGTTGCCAGATGCTCTTCTCTGAAGTGCAGCTCTAAACAGCCTATAGGCACTGTGATTTTAAACATCTCTCTGTGGACCAAAACCTGGCGATTTCTTTGTTCAAACAATTTCTTCTCACTGTAGCTCTTTTATCAATTAAACCGATGCAAAGGCTCCTACCACTCAGCTAAAGTAGGAGGCTGCTGAGAAGTGGGAACCTCTCAGACTGCTCTATTTACCCCAGCCGTTCTTGGATCAGATACATTCTTACTTGTAACGACATTTCTATCAGCATCAGCAGCTTCTTGATACCAATCCAGACAGCCTTCTGTTTGACATTCTGTGCAATAGTGCTGCGTTCCTTGTCTTTGAAGCTGCCCAGGAGCTGGGAGGGAAAAAAAAAAAAAAAAGAAAAAAAAATCAACAGCAAGAGACTGTCAGCAGAAATAATGCTACCTAACTCAGGAAAAAAGGAATGAGAAGCTAGAAAGCATTTGCTATCTTAGAAGGAAAATCAGTTTCAATATATCTAGGCAAGGCAAAACAGAGAGTCTTTTATTCCATCACATTGCTTTCCATAACTTCTCTAATCGAACAGTAAGTGATGCTCTTTTATGATGCATTCTAGGTTTTTCCCCAGATTCAGAAGCCACAGTAAGTTTTCAAAACTGCTGCAAGAGTGTCTGTGTCTTTCAGGCTTTGGTGATATTGTCATTGTTTTGCAAGTCTGCACACAGGATTTGCCTGTTAAGTTTATTTTAGCAGCCTTCAATATTCACTACAATTTCCACTATGGCATAGAACAAGCAATCATTAAGGGCACAAATTTATAAAGAACCTATAATCTCTTCAGCACCAAACACCTTCATTTGTCGTCGTTCCAATTCACAAGAGCTTGGCATCCCCCAGGCACATTCAGTTCAAGGGTCCCAATTATATTCATTCCATGGCCTCAGAATCTTTCAATCCACTCCACAAACTTTTTCCCCTCAACCCACAGTTCTCTCATTTTGCTTTAGTTTATTGTACGAAAGTCATTCATATTGTACAAAAAAGCCTTAGAACTGTTATGACATAATGTTATGACATAATCCCACTGGACAGTATTCCCAAATGCAGAACTACTGCAAAATTACTCATTTCCAGTGAATTTTGAGCTTGTTTGTCATCCTTGAACTTTTTCTCACCTCCAAAGCCTCCATCAGCTGCTCCCCTGTTGCAATGTTGGGCACATGAATTGTAGTGCTGAAAGCATTCAGCATTTCCATTTCCTGCAGGACATCTTTGCGACTGGTGGTTCCAATGATTAGAAGCTTGCGACCCTGTCCACACAACGGAATAAGTGTCAAGAAAGGAAAAACAAGAGAGGAAGCAGCCTTGGGAAGTTTCACAGCTGAAAAATGGAAAATGGCCATGTAAAAATACCACTTAAAGTAAAATCAGTAGGATTAAAGCTGTCAGTAATTGAAGGAATCAACATCAACCCTACAAGACTAGGACCAGATTTCAGAAGTCAGGGTAATGACACCAATGGGGTCCAAAAACTATGGTACACAGAAGACCCACTCATACTCACAGCTTTCCTACCTTACCCTTCCTTCTAAATTCATTATTATAAATAGCTGCATCCTCATTCAATTTAAAAGCATAAGCAAACCCCCACTCCCAAAAGCTGAATTACAGCTGACTTCTCAAGGGAACGGCCTATCCTTAGAAATCCTGTGGGTACAGTGAATCCTCTGCCACTGTACGGACAGCTCCAAGGTTTTACAGCTCATACTTCAAGAGCGGAGGCTGCTGTAAGTTCGTAGGACTTCCCATTGACACTGTGGTTGTATCAAAGGGCAGTACCACATCTGGCAGCCTCCAAGTTCAAACTGACAGTGCACACAGCAATTCCAAATCCTGAGCAATAACAGGGTTTATAAATAGTAGAGCAATGAATGAAAAACATTAGCTGCCAATAAAAACCAACTCCTGTTAGTTCTTCTTACAAATGCCATTTCAGCGCTATTGGAATTTTACCATGCAGTGTTCAGACCCTGATAAATGTTGGCTGATGGATGGAGCTGTTGGGATTATCAGCTGTGATCAGTCCCTTTTCCAGTACAGAAGGAGCCTGTGGGCTGAGGAGAGGCCTGGCTGGCCAAGCACCCTCCTCATTTGCTGTAGAGAAGTTTACTCTTTGTCTCTGAGCATCAGCTAAAGTTCTGTATTTCAACTTTGTGACACAAAATTCTGTTCATCATTACAAAAAAACCAATACAAACAAAAACACAGCTGCTCTGTGGGGACAGTTTCTAGAATTAATTCCATAAGTGCTTTGCATTCCTTTGACAAATGATGAAAACCTGTTTAAACCTAATACACCATTGATGAAGATGATGCATTGTCACAGCATTCGTTTATTTCCCACCCCGAGTGCCAATGTATTCACTGACTTCTTGTGTTTGAACAGATTACACTTCTGCTTTGGGGGACGGACAATGAGAAAGCACCAGAACTGGTAACGAACTCAAGTGCTCACTTCAAGTTTGTTTTTCACCTAAGACAGCAGAAGGAAGCAATGCCTGGCAGGTTGAAACCAGAGCACACCCCAGGTCACGAGCTTCACACAAAGGCTTTGTCAGGGTAACACTGTGCTAACCCTTCTGCGTATTAATCACCGCCCACATCTCAGGAGGCACCACACTCACCAGCTCAGGCACCTCTTCAGAGGGGGAAATCCTCAGAAACCTGCTGGGCAATTTAATGGGGAAAAGCAGCCAATTCCTGAACCGACAACAGAAATTCCAGATTTAAAACTGCAGTGGGAATAGGGAACACTTTATTGCTTAAAAAAACCGTGCCTGCTGGCAGCACACAGCAAGCAGAAAAAGGTCTAAGTGTCTAAAAATGCCTGTAGGTAGCCTTGAGAAGGGCGTACAATGTCAGCAGAAAACAAACACAACTATTCTGCAGTGTGCTGCTTCCACTACATTCCACATGCCCACAGCTTTACAACTGCATGTTATTTCCTTCCTTTTTGATGGTCACTGTGTAGCAAAGCCAGGAAACTATTTTATCATTTTGCAAGTTTGAGCCAAATCTGAGCAAATGAGTAAGATCTTGCATGCAAAGATGAAGAAACAATGGACAAAGAGTAAGCGAATGGCATTTGAGCTGCACTCCGACAACGAATTCAGAAAGCCCCATCACGTGCTCATTTTCAGCTAAAGCACTTAATAAACCAAGAAAAATAAATGATGCTCGGCAACAGACAAGCTTTTTGCCTACATGAAGACAACATTTCAGTCGTCTCCATCTTTGGAAGGGGTTGGTAAAGCAGACTTTAAAGGCAGGCTTGGAAGCTGTATGAAATGAGTCCCCCCAAGAACACCTGAATCATCACCTTCTCATGAGTCACAGAAGCGTGACACAAACACCTCTGACATCTGACATTACCCCCCAAGGACAAGGTTAAAAGGTGCCTTCAACTTGCTAAGCTACACTTGGGATCACAGCACAGGTGACAGCAGGACTGATGCATGCTTAGGATCTTCAGTACCCAGGGAATATCAGCAGATTTGGTTGAGAAAACTTCATTTCAGTTTTCATTTACTTTGCTTTCATGGTTGCTCTGTATTTCCTCAACACACTGTCCTCAGTGAGTTTTTGTTCAATTCATAAATAGCACTGATACATCTGATAATCTGTATGCTATATCTCAGTAAAAAGCCGAAGCCTTGTGAGGATATTCTGCTACTTCATTCAAAAAATCGTTAACAAGTCATATGCGTGCTGTTGGGCACCTTCAGACAGTTTTCTCATTACACAGGTAAGGTGCTAGGGTACAAAAGAAGCCAAAGACAGACTCCTGAACAGAACTGAGACCTCCAAAACATGCACCAACCCCCTCTTGCAAGCACAAATCCACACAATGCTATACCACTGAGACCAATCTGCTTTACAAGCTATAGCAATTCCTCTAAAAAATTTTTTATTACTGTATGTAACTCCCAAAATCCAGCATAGCTTGGGTAAGGGATTGTGTCAATAACAGTTTCCCATGAAATACATGCATTTTAGGGGGGAAAACACCTGCTCGAGGGCAGTCCAGAAGGCAGTATCTGTTCCCAAAATATCACTAACAACATGTGCACAGTGCCTGGCACAGCAGATAAGACATCAATCAAGGGAACAACTTGCAGGATCCTTGCCTGAGCAACTTCTACACTGAAGTCCATGCTTGATCATAATAAAAACGGAGTCTAGTTTGGGGTTTCTTCAGAGACTAAGAGGAAGGAAAGGATATACGCAGCACAGAAATGTAATTAGTGAGGTGGGCTTTACCTCCTATAACTTCAGGTGCCCACATATGATTTCATTCCCTGCATTTTCTTCTTAGTTAATGGAGCCCAGATGACGCCTACCTCCTCCCAGAAAAGCTGCCTACACTCTGCACTCATACAGCCAACTATTTGCTAAACAACTAGTTCAGTTGTAGGAAACCAAACCGCTGACAGCCACATTTAGTCAGATGAATCCCAAACTTGCTGTAAATCAGGCCAGCAGACAATTACTACACACAGAAAAATGGCTCTAAATGACTTATTACCATTTAGGAAAGCCACTGGAATTGGTCATTGCGGCAAATTCTGTGAAAACACCAGCTCAGTGCTAAACCTTACGCAAAATGCAAACACTCAGACATTTTTAGAATGGGAAAAAAAAACAGAGTAAAACAAAAGTCGTTATTCTACCATAGGAATCCAGGGTGCTCTTTAAGATACTGTGCAATCCTAGCTGTTTCAAATACAATTTCAAATGCATCACCCAGTTGGAGAAATCAGAGGAGAGCAGTGGGGATGGTCACAGGTATGCAATAACTTCCCTAAACAGACTTTTGGTAAATTGATGGGGCATAAACAGCAGAGGTCTGTAAAATCATAGATGGTATAAAGGGGGGAAACTGCTGTTTCTCAAAATAAAAACTAGGGAGCACTACATGAAAATTAAAGAAGCATCAGTTTTAAACTGAACAAGAGGATGTTTGCTTTCACCATACAAGTCAGCTGAACTCAAGCAAGCAAGACACTAAGAATGGCAAAAGCTTAACAAGGTTCAAAAGCAACAGGGCAAGTTAATAGCAGTCAGATCCATCAGCAATTTTTGGATATCACTGTTAGGATCCATGCTCAGGACCCCGAACCACTGACAACCGAGTGACTGAACACTCCTCAGAACTGACGTCTACTCTGCAAAACAGTGCTTAAAAATTTTGAACAGCTCCACCCAAAACATACTGATTTTTTCCTTGCTTCCTTCAAAAGCAGCTATGCGTTTCAACTTGCCACCTTTAAACTTGACCCACTGGAAAGCCAGTTACCATAAAACAAGCATAATCTCTGCTGTATCAATTACTAAAAGAAAATGAAGTGTCAGGAGTCCCTTGTACTTTTCAAAGTTTCAGGCAACTTGCTCAGCAAACAAGTGGAAAACCTACAAGTCAGAAATGTTTTGCCCCAGGCATTATCACAAAAGCAAGATAAGCCATCGAGCCAAATTGAAAAAGCTGCCCTCATCCAACACACCACAGGTTATCACTAGATTTAGTCTTGCTATTGTGAGATATGCTGCTAAAGTACCCCCATTTCCAGAAATATTCACATTTTTGATCCTTAATTTCTACAGCAGGCATTGCAAAGGCAACATGCCTGTGTTCAGCCCATAGGAGAGCAGGAGTCAAGCTCAACTTCCAAAAATCAGGCATAACAAAATAGTAACTACCAAGTAAGGAAGAACGTGGCTTTTCAGCAGTTCAGGATCGTTTGGTGTCAGACTCCTTACCAGGGCAGTTCTAGGCCCAGTTCTTCCATCAACAGAGGTTAGATACAGGGATGTCATCACTTAAGTCTGGATTCATCCTGCCCATTTTTAGGCAATAAGTGCCCCAGTTCCGAGCCCAAGATCCCTCTATGCTGATAGGGGGACACCCAGTAGAGAGGTGCGTGTCTTGCCCCCGCTGCCTTCTAGAAGCCAGATTTCATCTCTCTGCTACAGGGGTTTTATCTGAATAAAGGAAACAGTCAAGCAGAGAACTGTGGGACTTGAAGATCAAAAGAGAAAGTAGTTTCAAACTATTGCATTTTCCAGCATTACGAGACTGATTCTTCTAACACAGCATTCACTTTCTCATGGGCACCACATTACTGCATCGATTACTGAAGACAAACTAGAACATAAAAGATTTAAATACTCCGCTACAAGCAAATGGAGTCTCAACATGTTGGTGGAGTCTCAATCAGAATTTCAGCAAATCTAACCTGTCCTAGGCAAGGGGAGTTGAGGGGAGCTTGAACTACACTATAACCAAGTATTGGTGGCCTCGGAAGTCCCCCACCAGCTCTTCACTCAACTTTGGACCCTTGTACGTTTTTATGCATGTGTTTTGGGTTATCAACAATTCTCCACTTGTAATGGGAGAAAACACAATTTCCCAGGTTTAAAAGTATAAAGGTAACGTCACTGTTGATTGGAGTTGCTTCCAATTCACACCAAGTGACGTGGAATCAGGAATGCATCTGGGATTATATTGAACAAGGAGATTATTCCCCCCTTTCTCCCGTCAACTTTCATGAATCGGCAAAAGCCTCCAGCGTCCCAGAGAGGAAAGGGGCTGGGGGCCTCTGGGAGCAGTAGAAGGGCATCCACAAGAGTGGTCAAGAGCATCTTGCTAAGCCAGACATTTCATAACACTGCACAAATTGTACGTCCAGCTTAGTGCGGGGATGCTGCAATGGTCTTTCACCCTTTGAGCCAATTGTTAGCTTTTCACAGGAACCAGCAGGGAAGCACATGTGAAACCTCTGTGGGGCTGGTGAGTGTCTCCATGCCTTGTGTGACTCTGCATGTAGATGAAGCAGCTTCGGCTTTCGGAGCTGCTGCTGCTTAGTTCTCAGAGAAGTCCTTTTCTCCCGCTTGGCTCCCTGCTGCGACAGTCCTTTTCAGTTTTTCTATCCCCCCCAGTCTCTTCTCCTGCACAACACAGGGAAACTTGATTGAAATAAAGACCCAAGAGAACATGGTTTATTTTCTTCTCTTCAATCCATTTTAGAAAAGCTTTTTAATTGGTTTTAAAAAAAGATGCTAAACAAAATGCAGCGTTTTTCAGTCTTCTTGAACTAGTAGTAATAGATACCACTATGTAAGAATTGCTGAGTGGAACTAGCAAGCTTGAGCTGTGACCGGGAATTTAAAGCAAACTCAGAGATGTTTCTAGCTTCTTTAAAGTCTAACGTGTTTACTCTCAAAACCTCTGCAAAGTGCAAACAAGCCAGAAAGCCCAGAAAACCAGAAAACTTCGAGTATTTGCCCTTTCCACACCACGTTAAAATAATACAGCCTCAACAGGAAAAGGGGAGTCTGGGAGGCAGCTTTCAGAAGCCAATTCAACAGAGACACATACCTCAATACATAATTAATAAGATTTCATCCCAGAAATGCTCCTCTTACACCCATAGCCTACAGTAATTGTAGGAAGCTGCTTGCACATTAAGTATATTCTCTGCAAGTGATGTGACAACACCGTGTGAATACATAATCTGGGCCACAAAGATGGGAGCAGCAGAACTGTGCTGCTGAAATGCACCCTCCGCTTCCCGCTCACTCCTTGCTTACAGTTTCAACTGCTTCGTTGTTCCCGTTTCTAAGCTTTTTCAAATCAACTCTGTATTTTGCGCCCCTCTGACAAGCGAAATGGTAAGGAGCCTGATAGCAATGGAGAAGAGGTATTGGCTCCCCAGCATCTTACCAAGGATTTCTCTCAGCACAGGGACATGCCTGGCACATCCCAGGACGCTCCATTTTTTTTACAAGGAATGAACCAAAATGATGATCCCAATCCCACAGAAGTTCGCATTGGATTGACCTCATGGAGCAGGTTAGTACCACTGATGCTCCTCATGGACATTTCAAGCATGTATCTGCATCTCAAACTACAACAAACCCCCCGAAATCAGCCATTGCTTCTAAATAATTTGCTCCTCAAGGGAACTAGACATCTCAGAGGGAGCTTGGAAGGGCATTGATTAACCAGCAGTATTATCTCCCCCGTGGGTTTCTCACTTGAGCTTAAAAACCCCAAGAGTTTCCATGCCCAAATTCAATCTTTTTCACAGTAAACATTCACAGCAGAAAAGGCCTTTTCCTGCAAGACTCTACCTCTTATACACTGTTAGGTTTTTAAATGGAAAAAATCCCCACATGCCATGACTATCACAGGGAGACAAGAAACAAGCTAGGAAAGACCTCACCATCGGAACCGCCAAACTAGGTCAGCCCAAAGGGTCCATCTAACCCCATGTCCTAATTTCCACAGTAGCCAATAGTGGGCACTTGTGAAAAAAAGCAAAAAAACCCCACATCATCAATCAAACAGTGACATTTCCTCAGAAAACTCTCTCTCTACCCTCTAACAATTTATGGCTTAAGTCACCGTAATATTGGCTGTCAACCCAAAGTCTTCCAGCCTCAAGGGCATTTCAAGCATTGCAAAGTGCAAATCCCTAGCAACATGCATAAACTTGGCAAATATCTGAGAGCTTCAAGCCCTGCATCCTGCTTTCAGGGAGACTCAGGTGCCAACAAAAATGCATCTGAGCAGCAAAATACATTCAGAGGATGCAATGATTAAAATGGACAATTTAATATTTCAATTTCCCTCAATACCTGAACCAAATCCAGTTCTACTTTCCCCTATTGGTTTATGGGAACAAGCATTTTCTGGTACCGTGGAAATACCCAGCAATAGGTCAATGATTACATGAGATTATGACAATCAAACATGATTGTGCTGTTGCATACAGGCAGCCTTTCTGTTCTAAAATATGTGATAACCGAATCCAAGTTTTATGTTAAGAGACTTCATGTGGCATAGAAAGCTCACTGGGAAAAATCTTTTGTTCTCCCAGAGTGACAGTCACAAGGGGAACTTCAGGGCCTGTGGCATTACAATTTAGTTCAAAGTTCTATATTTGAAAAGTCTTTTCACCATACTCTCTAATGAAAACAATACTCACACATACACTGCATCCAGGATATTAAAAATGACAAAAAAAAATTGAGTTCATCCAGGCTGTGCTTCTCTGCTTTTTCCTGACACCAACTTCCAAGGTTTTCTTGTTAGTATGTTCTTTATTCATGCAGATACTTTCACACACACAGCAGAATTCCAGTGAATGACAGGAAAAATGGCAAACAAAAAGAAGAGTCCCTGCCTGTTCGTCTCATTCAGTGCAGGCTTCAGAAACGTTATCACTTGTGATGTTCTTAAGTCTCATCAAACCAGAAAATGCAAATAGACAGGATCAGCAGGAGATGTAAGATCTTAAGCTTTCCTCACCTGTTGTAATTAACATCTGATAATTTCCAGTTAAGAACAAATTAAGACCCTGACATCCACAATCATACCTGACTTAGAAATTGATTTCTAAATAAGGAGGGAGCATGCGGCTGAGCCAGGGATTGATTTTGACTAGAGTTCCTCAGTTAATCAGAAAGCAGGCAGCTCCCATGTTTAAGTTTTACACTGTGAAGGTTAAACTTGTTTTCTTAGTATTTCTAGGGCTAACTGCAGAAGACTCAGCCTTAAGTAATTAGGTAATTAAAGTTGAATCCTTTGTGGTTATCCTAGAAACGTCGAACTGACTGAAGAGCAGCAGGCTAGGATTAACTTGACTGAAGCAGAGACAATAGCACTAATACCACTGGCAGCACAGCAGCTATCAGCAGGACACAAAGCTTTCCACTGTCAAAATTATTACAGGAATAGGGCATCTCGTCCCTTGATTACTTTCCTACCTGAGGGGGGGCCTTCTTTAGCAGCACAAGAAGGGCTTGCAACACCAGATTAGAGAACCGTGGTCCAATTGGGACATAATCTGAAATGAAAAATGCATTTTAAAGCCCACTAAGCAGATGCATATTTAAGCCACTTCACTGTATCAAAACCAGTTTAAGGCTCCCAAAGTAAATGGTTCCAAGATCATTTCCAGTTTGCAAGATTTCAATATAGCAAATATTTCAGTATTTCTGCACAGCAGACAACACTGCTCGCTCTCATCATCCTAACTCACCTAGAAGTCTCTCAATGTCGTCCACGACAACACAGCTGAGTTGGGACTTGTACGCATCATCAAAGATCTAAACAGCAAAATGACTCATTGTTAAATCTCAGCAGCAGAATTACAATAGTCATGATAGGACCTGTTGATGTGTTTTTAGCTAAACACAGCAGTATTTAGAGGAATAAACAGAGAATGAAGAAGGTAAGTACCAAGAGACTAGACTCTACCTGCATTTAATAAAACACTGCCATCCCAATAAATTCATGGCTCAGTTTTGTTCATTTACCCCATACACTTTGCAAGAAAGCCAGCTGCTCTGCATTTAATTGTCAGCAATGGACAAAACAGAGCACTGTTCCTCTGGTCTTTGGAGCTGGGGTAATACTGACAATAAAACACCACACACACACAAATCCCCCACAGTTGCAATGCAATTATGAAACTTTTCTACCCAGGCTGGATATTGGTTACTTTTCATAAGAGCATATTGCCGGGCAAAGAGACCTGCTCAGGTACAGATCGAGCCTCCACATCACCCTTTATAGAGCAGCAAACCAGTGTCCTGCAAAGCTCTGGATTTAAACTAAGGACATCAGTGGTACTGCAGGTCTACCTCCAGCACACACTGATTCAAGCAGGGTCCCAAAGGCTCCTTTTTGAATCTAAATTATAAACTGGGCTTCCAGCTATGAGCACATCACTTTTCTTAGAAGCTATGCAATCCTGCAACATCATCTTAGGGTAACGTTCCACTTACATGCTTCATTCAGTATCATTCGGCTAGAAGAACAAAGTGCTGGCTTGCTTCAGTAAATGAAACCTCCTGCCTTCCACCTGGCTACTTGGAATTATTTAAGCTGTTTTCAGCTTGTTTGCATTCCCCCTGCTCCCCAAGTTGTTAAAACTCTTGTTTAACTCAACATTACCACCTCAAAACAGTTCCTAGTCTCATTCAGGCAGGTTTTATTCTTTCCAAGCGCAACCCTAGGCCTGTCCTGCCTCCATCTTTGCAGACAGAGTTCCAGACTTGCTCATCACAGATCAGGTGTTTTGTATCACTATTAGTCATGATTACACATCAGACCCAATTGGGACAGAGCCTTGAAACCTTCCTTGAGTCACTTAGTGCCACAAAAAACATTCATTCAACTTTATAAATAAATATATGCACAGGAATTTAGGACCTACAGAGAACAGAAAACACAATCACAAGAGTAATTCACTTTTCTGTCCACTAGAGACTATAGAATTGGATTGCAATCTAGCAAAAGAGTAGGATGCATAAGTACCTTCTTCATAGCTTGGCACTTGGCCGTTTCAGAAAATCCGATCATCTTATCAGGAGAACAGATCTTGATAAAGGGAAAGTTGGATTCTTCTGCTATTTTTGCTGCTAAAGCAGTCTTCCCACTGTGGGGGGGACCTGAAACAAAGGACAAACATAATGAAAAAGCAAGGGAGAAAACAACTCTGATAAGGCTCAGCATGGATAACATTTAAAGCACGTTTAGAATCTTATTCAGAGGCATCTACATTTTGAAATTACCTTTTCTTCTACTTGCAGAAGGAGCACACTAACTCCTAGCGCAATCCAATCCTCCAGATGAAGGAAATTACTGCAACTATCTGAGCACATGCAGACTGATAAGCCATGAAACCAACAAAAAAAAAATTGTAGGACTGGCCACTGGACTAAAATTAGCACGTTTGTATTTTAAACTATGGTTGTGCCCCTTCTAAATATGATTTCTGCAGGTACTGTGGCAAACAAGTCAACAGCACGAATGCCAGGTAAATATTGACAAAGACAATTTGTTATTTGCCTGAACTCACACCAGAATGATTCAAACAGAGACCAAAGACACATCTTAATCCATACACCCAACACAAATCAATTTGGAGTGCAAGAAGGCACTGCATACAAGCAGTATGTTGGTCACGAGCTCACAGAATTATTCAGGGGATCTTTTCAAGATTCATTTCAAAGCTACTGACTGCTAAGCAATAGTGGTAATCCCCATTTTTTGACTTCAGGAAAAGAAAAAGGGAAGTGCTAAATAACAAATTCTACTCCAGTATTTGTAATGTAGATATTGGAACTAATGTCCTAGACTCTTCATTTTCGGTAACAGTCTAGACAGGAGCACAATCCTCCTCTGTCTAACAGCAGACACCTAAATGTGGCTAGATAAACTGTTGTTTGAACTCAGCTCATTACACTGATGAGCTCTGCAGTGAATCCAAAGAGAATTTAGACAACTCAGCTAGAGATGTGCGCACTGTAGAACATCCACATTTAGGTTATTAATGGGTGCATTCACCTCTCCATTCTTCCAAGAACAGAATTTTTTTCATGCTGAGAAGCCAGTTTTAATATCTAAAGCAATTTCACCCAAGTAAACTGAAAGAGACCAATTCCATTTTCCCGCCCATGTGTTTCTTTGATATACAGTTGCAGGATACAAGAGGTGATCACTTGGGCAACTGATAGAAATAGTTTACAGAAGTCGCTTGGCTTCTTTTTTATATAGTTTTTTCTTAAATTTACCTTCTAGAAGAACGCTAACCAAAGGAGTGCGGTCACTGTTCTTAGTTTGTTGAACAAGCAGCTCCCCATCATCCAATACCCTTGTTACTGGATCACCCCACTTAATAATACCATTCATGATGTAGCTTGCATAGTCTTCCTGGTTGGTTCCAAATGCCTGTATTAAGAGAAGGAACATTTATTTTACTGTGAAATTTTGCATCCAATCAGAAAAGCATGACACAATTAAACATTACCAGAGTGACCAAGACTCTGGAAGATGCTCAAGTGAGGCAGTCAGTACCAGAAGACCCCTTGGTAACAGCACACCACATTTCAGTTCAAAGGATTGAATGCTGTTGGAGACCATGCACATTTAGAAACACCTTTTCATACACCCCCAAAACAAATTCTGATCAGTGCAAGTCGCCAACAGGTTCTGAATCTACACTGTTTAAAGACAATTCTCAAAAATGAGGCTTAAACCTCCTCCTACAGTCCATACTAAAGCTGTCATCCATTAACTGAAGCAGCCTAGAAGGGAGGGTGTACATACAACAAGGAGAAGAAATTCTAAGTTGCTCTCTTCATTTGTTCTATTCCTTTTTATGATCCTTGCAAGAAAAAGGCACAAAACAGAGCCTTAGCACAGCAGGCAGAAAGAGGGTCCCTACTTTCATTCCTACAACACAGGACATGGTATGTCAGTCCATGGTGCACCACAGCATGTCTGATCCCAGAAGGAAGTTAATACTTCATGCCATCAACTGTACTGGGTGACTATTACAGGAGTTACACAGTGCCTACTTACTGGCTTTATATCATTCTCCAAAGATGCAAAGAAGTCTCCTCGTGTCACACGCAAGCTCTCTGCCTTCTCCATATCCACTTCTACTTTGTTGCTGGCCTAATAAAGGCAATAAAAGACAGTGAAGTACAGCAGTACCACACACCACCCCTTCCATCCGCGGATCCAACCCTGTAGTCGGTCTGTGTCAATAAGAAAAATGCTTCTTAACAGGACATTTGTGGGACATATGCCAGATACCATGGGAGCAATCATCATCTTCACAAAGCCACATCCTTATGCCAGCCCCATGAAATCATTAAGTAACAGTTGTTCCACTCCACTGGGTGGAAAGCTGAAGTAAAGAGTATGGCCATGACCCCACATTTCAGAGAAGCCGCCCCAGCTAAGAACAGTTTGGAAGCTCTGCACCATCCTTGCTATTGCTGTGCTACCTTGACTACATAAACTAAGTGTCAGTGAGGCTCAGACTGGTGCGCACTGTGGGACTGATCTCACCTAAGTTTAAATTTCTAAAAGTTATTGGAGGTATGCAGGTTCCCTTTAGAGCAGAGAACTACTCTTTCCATTTAGAGGCTGTAAAAAAAATTCTTCATTATGCTTTCTGGGTGCTGGATGGGAAGGGGATGAAGCCTCCTTCATTGTGTGACTTTTTTCAGAAAGTTTAATTTAATCCAACTCTGAATCTACCCACACCATTTTGGCAACTAAGCCAAAAATAAGAATTATTCACGCGCCTCTATTTCAGGAGGTTTTAGCTTTCTATTCAAACCATGCACTTTCCTCTCGGTACAAGATTAAGGGGATTGGTAAATATTAGATTTCTTTCTGCTTTGTCTTTATTTGCTTCCGTTCAACCACAGCCATGAATCTCCCAAGGCAGTGCTATCAGTATTATTTAGAATAAGTAAGCTGCTGTTAGCTCAGCACATACTGAGCTCCTTTCTAAATGAAAAGCATCACCCTTCTGCCAATCCCAAACCACCCAGCAAGATTTAAAAGCTAATGACTGGAAGCAAATACACAGTAGGGACAGCACTACCACAATCATTTCTCAATCACAACTAGAGGTACCCCTAGGAGGTGGCCCAACACTGCTCACACTGGAGCCAGAAGAGGTTTTTAATTCTTGAAAACAACTTGAGAACAGCCTTTAAAGCTGGAGACTTTATTCAGATATCTGTAGACTTTAAAGATAGATGTATTACTGAGTATGGCTGCAGCTCCGCAATACAGAGCGGCTCCATTTACTAGGATTATTTGTAGATCTGCAAGTATATTGATTGCCTTGGGCAGCAATCAGGAATTAAATGGATTTGAAACAACTTTTCCGCTCAACGGTGTATGAACACTGGCTGTTACATACTAATCCTATGGGTGCTCTCTGCTGAGGATCCCGAGTGGAGTGAGAGATATCAGAAAAAGGATTAGTCACCAGAGGGGGCAGAAGTTGATCTGTGAAAAGCAATTCATCTGTTCAGTGGTAAGGCAGAAACCTATTTTTAAGTAGCAGAGAGATGAGGCAAAATATCTTCATTCTTTTCCAAAGTGCAGCCTTGAAAGGCTTTTGATAATTTCTGAATTTCCCAATTATACCGCAACAAATTTCTCTAGATTCCAAAAGAAGTATAATTGTCATTGAAAGCTGCCCGAGTCTTACACCACCATCTGCTTCTACCAGAGAGTACAATGGCCCAACATGAAATTTGGGATTTCAAGGAGTTTCTTGGAAGGCACAGCAACCTCTAGCACCTTTGCATAAGACCAAGGTGATAGTGAGTCAAATAACTTTGACCCTCAAAGATGTGTCTCAGACGTTTAGTCTGCAGAAGAGGAGGCTGAGGGGAGCCCTTGTCACCCTCTACAACTGCCTGAGAGGAGGGTGTAGTGAGGTGGGGGTCAGCCTCTTCTCCCTGGTAACAGGCGATAGGACAAGGGGAAACAGCCTCAAGTTGCTCCAGGGGAGGTTTAGGTTGGACATTAGGAAAAATTTCTTCCCCAAAAGGGCTGTCAAGCGCTGGAAGGGGCTGCCCAGGGAAGGAGTCGAGTTCCCATCCCTGGGGGGATTTAAAAGCTGGGCAGACAAGGTGCTTAGGGACATGGTTTAGTGGTGGGATGGCAGGGTTAGGGTAACAGTTGGGCTTGATGATCTTAAAGGGCTTTTCCAAACTTAAACGATTCTATGATTCCATGATTCTATGATTCTGACTAGGGATGATCCAGAAGAATGAGGAGCAGTGCGTTTGAGCATAGGAAGGAAAAAATCTTAATAAAAATAATCACATTACATTTGTCTCGTGGAGTAGCAGATGCAGCCTCTGAACAGCAACCCTGGGCTGGCCAATAACAACCCAGACTGGCCAATAACACTGTGCCAAACAAATAACTACAACAAGAGGATGGCTGAAATTAGAGTCCCTTCTCCCAAAAACACCACCAAGAAGAAATACAGGATGCCACATACATCAAACCAGTGGATCTTTAGTACGGATTGATCACTCTTCTACTTCGCAGAGGGAAGTGACAGTACTTGAAACACTACTAATATATTCCTGAAGCTGCTCATACACTTAAAAACAAGGGGGTTTCCTTCTTTCCTAGCCTTTAACGAGTTATACGTTTTAATTTTTAACACACACACACTTTGAGAGATTATCAGAAGAGTTTAAATGATTCAGAAGAATAATGCCTCTTGATTTTCAGTTTGTGCTCTTGCTTCTTGTAGATGTTTCTGAAAACTAGGTCAGGTCTATGATGTATCTTTTAAATTTTGCAGTCCTTGTAGGAGAGAATAAAACACCTTAGTGCATCATTTGTCTGAAGACATCTTCAGAATAAACAATAAGATTATCCAAAAATACTACGTCAAAGCGTCTGAAAAGAAAAACAAAGCATCGCTGTTTCACATTTGGAAGATACATACATATATTATTAAGATGTGAATCACATACAAACCTAAAGGAGGGAACTGCTCTCTTACATTTATGCATTGCCATTTTCTCTTCTCCCACTGTGACATTTTGGCACACCAGGGAATATATCAAAACACTAACAGTCCCCAAACTCACCCAAAATTCAAGCATTGAAAAAGCATCAATTATAAGCAAAATTAATTATTTAAGGAAAATGTTTTGCTTGCGAAAGGATGAAAATAGCTCCAGAGGTGCTGATTTTTTTTTTTTTGAGACAGAACACAAGAAAATGAGAAACTGTTTGCAGTTTTTTTGCTATAGGAAACAATTAATAACATCCCAAGTATTATGGCTATACAAGAAAAATTAGCGAAGAGCCATTTTTCCTTTAGAAAGAGTGCTCCCAAGAGATACAAACATCTAAGCAACCAAATGATTTCTCTCACTTAAATGAAAGCATGGTTTACTTTCCTCATATTCAAGGCTGAACAGACTTTTTACTTAAAAATATACCAGTGCTGGGGAATTGATGTCAGAGGCTTTTCTCTGCAGTAATTCCCATCAATTCTTGGCCACTAGAGCAAAGGGGCTGCGTCTTTAAGCCTCCTTCTTCACAAACTAATCATCTTGTATTTCAACACCATCGAATACAGTGGTTTGCATCTGGATTAATACAACCTGACATTTCATGGTCCTTAACTCCTTTCTAGTTAAAGATACACTGACCTCCCATAATCAGCACACATTGGGAAAGCAAGGCAATGTTCCTCTAGAATGGAGGGAGCTGAGAACATTACAAGTCTCTATGCACACTGAGACGATCATCGAGTAAGTTCTTTGAAATGGAAGACGTTACACAAGCCCCTTCTGAATTCGACCAAGATTTTAGCATCAGCAACATCTTGGAGTAAAAGATTCCTTCCACAGCTTAAATACTTCTTCACACAATGCACATCTTATCTTTGCTTTGAGCGTGGCCCTGCTGGTATCATTTGCTGTTCTCCGAGTTCTTGTATTAGGAGAGACTACACAATCATTCCCCATTCACCGATTCCAATCCACCCATGATTTCACATACTTTTCACAACCCCTCACCATATTTTTTTCAGGCTGAGAAATCCCAGTCTAACCATTCTTCCAGTGGAAACCCTCCCATACCTCTGACCTTCCCTACTGCCTTCTCCATATCTGAGTTCTACCATAACCTCTTCCAGGTGGGTGTCCCAGGACTGCACAGATTCAAATATACCAGGGATTTTATCCATGACAATCACAGCCTCACTTTTGCTCTGTATACTTCTCCTAGTAAATTCTAATGTTGCATTTGCTTTATTCCCTGATAAGGACTGATCTGATATTTCAAGATCATTATAATTCCCAGAACTTGACTCCAAGTAATGGTCAGGTTGGTCCCTATCACTGCCTATACCATTTTGAATTTTCTCTCCCCAGTGTACACTAAAATTCACTGACTACATCTTGTGAACTGGCATTATTTCAAATGCCTTCTGCAGTTTTCCATAGGTGGCCTTCATCTTTATGACCACAAAACAGCTATGAGCTTGTAAGCTCGCTTCCCTCCCCCTCTTTACAGATCATTTATGAATTAATATATTAAGCCGCACAGGCTCCAGCAGAGGTCCCTCCCATACAACTGGATGTTCTCACTTCCACCTCTTGTCTCCTGGGTACAATCCATAAACTGAGCTCAAGACTTTCCTTTCAGTTTTTATCAAAAAACACTGACAAACAATCACCTTCCATTCCAACTGAGCTATGCAAGAATCACTTGGAGGTCAGGAGATGAAAGAGGTAATTCAGAACCATGTAAAAGCACAGTGAAAAGGTGGCGTCCTCCTGAATTTGATCTCCTAAGGTATGCTGAGATGCCAGTACCTATTTGGAAGTAAACATGCAAGAAAAGACTCCCAACATAATTATTTGCCCTTTTTTTGCCCCAGTGAGAGACAACAGACTGACCTTAATGTGTCTGTTCATAGCAGTAGACTGAGCAGCTCGAACTAAACCTTCTAACTCAGCACCACTGAAGTTTTTAGTCTCAACCGCCAGTTCTGCAATGTCCACATCTTCAGCCAGCAGCTGGTGTTCCCGCATCCGTACCGTGTGGATATGAAGAATCTGAAATCGACCCTTTTCATCCGGCAAGCCTGAGATTTGAAACAGAAAACACGTGTCATTCAGTGCCTTGGCACAGCAACTGCAGCAGCCTTTCCCTCTCCTCCTCAATGGTTCTACCTCCAAAGGTTCTTTCTCAACAAGAGCAATTCATTCTTACAAGTAAAATATTTGATAATGCTTTTCGTTTGAGAATATTCAGTTACACTAATTGCCCTCAGCAAATTGATTAGCATCACCGCCAAACTAGAGAGAGAAACTGTAATGTTTAGTTCCTTTCCTCAGGGTTCCTCCAAGTTGGTTGCTCTCAGGCTTCCATACCAGGAATTCACCTTACACAAAGGCCATCTGGTTAGTCCCTTGGCACCCCTAAACCCAGTTCCCACCTTGTAATTATCATAGAATCGTGGAATCATGGAATAGTTTGGGTTGGAAGGGAACTTTAAAGATCCAGTCCATCCCCTGTGCCATGGGCAGGGACATCTCTCACTGGATCAGGTTGCTCAGAGCCCTGTCCAGCCTAGCCTTGAATACTTCCAACAATGGGACAGCCACAGCTTCTCTGGGCAACCTGGTCCAGTGTCTCACCACCCCCAATAAAACATTTCTTCCTTATATCCAATATAAAGTTACCCTCTTTCAGTTTAATGCTGTTGCCCCTTATCCTATCACTACAGGCCCTGGTAAACAGTCTCTCTCCAGCTTTCTTGTAAGCCCCCCTGAAGTACTAAACAGCCGCAATGAGGTCTCCCCGGAGCCTTCTCTTCTCCAGGCTGAACAACCCCAAGTCTCTCAGACTTTCTTCACCAGAGAGTTGTTTCCAGCTCTCGGACTATTTTCATGGCCTCCTCTGGACCCACTCCAGAGTGCGTATGTTTTCTTTAATCTTCCTTTTCTGACCAATGCACCTTTAAAAGCCCTTCTTACTATTCTTCGCATCCCTTGCCAAATTCAGCCCCAACTGTGCCTTAGCTTTCCAGATCCCATCCCTACAAATCCAGGCAGTGTCCCTATATTCTTCCCAGGATACTTGTCCCTGGTTCCACTGCCTGTGCGTTTCCTTCTTATGCTTTAGTTTGACCAGGAGGTCCTTGCTGAGCCATGCTGGTCTCCTGCCTTCCTTGCCCGATTTCTTACACATGGCAATCAAGAGCTCTTGTGTACTGAGAAAAATGTCCTTAAAGAGCTGCCAGCTCTGTTCTGCTCTTTTATCCCCGAGGGAAGTTTCCCAGGGGGTCCCATCCACTAATTACTTATTCAACTGAAAGTTCACTCTCCTAAAATTCAGGGTCTTGTCTTTACTCTTCAGCTGACCTATACCATTCTCATACAGTGTTCACTTTCTCTGACTGAGTTGATAATTTCCCAGTTCACACCTTAGCAAGTCCCTTCTAAAATGCCTATAACGGAAGATACAGAAAAGCCTTTTGGTAAAAGAAAGCATAACATTTCAGTCTGGCACATCATCATCTTGGGAAAGCCATGCTGCTCTTTAGCTCACTTTCCAACCTACCTTCACACCCTTTATTACAAGGATGTGATAATTTGCACTGATTAGTATTTGTGCTGAGGGTATGTGAAAAGACATTTTAAAACGTGCACCGTCCCCAGCAGCGTTCAGTCCTTACCATCTGACAATTTATTCTAGGGACGTCTTGCTCAGTTCCTGGAATTTATTTAATGTAATTAACTTCTGACAACTAAAGATGCAAGTACTACACCTGCAATACAATCAGTCTCACCTGGGCTTACAAGTAACAGTTGCTGTTAGGCATCTGTTTTCAAGAATGAGATTGTTCAAAGGCGACTGTCATTGTGGCTACAATTCTTCGTCCCTAACACACACCTTCTTTATCGAGCCTTTCCCTCAGTTCCTTGTAGCTCTGTTAGACTGTATCTGGCTGCAGCTTTTGCCAACGCTAATTGTCTCTCACTACTATTCATCAGCCTGACTTCTAATAATTTTCTATGCGCTCTTTATGTGTTCTACTATGTCTCTATGTATACGCTTCTTTTCCCAATTTTCCTTCTTTTGTGCACCATGCCAAAAATAGGCACAAGCCTCCTTCACTATTTCTTCCTGCACCTAAAAAATCTCCAGCATATTTGAAACCATCCACGCTGTCTGTGCTCCACAGCTAGCGCTCTAGTCGAATCTCCAGTCCTCACTCTTGCATGAGCTACATGCGTGGTAATGCCCGATATAAACTGTGTCCTACAGAGCTCCAGGACATCATTACTTGTGAGAATCAGCTCACTGCCCGCGTTACCACTGCGGCTGCCTCAGTAGCCATCAGCTTCGCTTCCTCATTCCTTCTTTTGCCCAAAATCTTTCCCTTTCAGCTATCACAAAAACTCTTCTGTTTCTGGCTCTTTCGAAGAGTGACGTTACCCTTCAAGGATAAGAGAAAAAAAGTCCCTACTGAGCTCTTAAGATTACATCGATAGATCAGATTTCAAGAGTTTCCCCACAGTTCAGACCAGCATAGAGAATTACATTTTGCCTGCCACTCTAATATGATATCATATGATTTTTAGGGTTATATGGACATTTTCATCTGACTTTCTGCAATTGAAAGGGAACAGATCATATTAATACTCATGGCCTTGCCTCTTCCTTTTTTGTGACTCACTAAAATTTGAGAATTTTTGCTTTTACGATAGTAGGTGCCTAGCTCAGAGCATAGAAAATATTTTGAGACATTTGTATGCCTGTGGAAGGTTAGGGGAAAATGTTTTATGAGCTTCTCCAAACTACTATCTGAAACTGCATTTCCAATCTTTAATTTCAATATGGATCTCAACCAATTTGAATTTCTCACTGCAAGACAGGATCACTAAGCTCTTAACCATGCCCAAGCTATTCTCTATTCAAACATTCTTCTGTGAATTGTTAGCCTCAGAACTGAGCACCACAGGCTAGCCACCCTTTAGACTCCACCATGATCTGCACTGATCCAACTTCTGATCTCAAATGCTAAGTTAGAGACTTGGTTTCATGGACCTAAGGGAATCTGATCTTAATTTCTTAATAAATCCTACATTACCAGATATTCCGTTATTCAATCTGCATTGTTATCAGGCGGATGCGTACAATTACAAAAGTCCCTTTTAAGTTACTGACATATAGCATCCTCTTCCCACTCACTGGAATAAATGACTAACAAGCTCTTCAGCCCACTTTTAGTTCTGTTGATGCAAGTAATCCAGACCTGCTGATTTCAGAAACCAATAGCCGATGCTATTTAACATTTGCAGTTCCTGCAAAGTCACCCATCATCACTCCATGCAAATAAAATCATCAAATCATTTAGGTTGGAAAAGCCCTTTAAGATTATCAAGACCAACCGTTCCCCTAACCCTGCCATCCCACCACTAAACCCTGGCCCTAAGCACCTCATCTGCCCAGCTTTTAAATCCCTCCAGGGATGGGGATTCAACCCCTTCCCTGGGCAGCCCCTTCCAGTGCTTGACTGCCCTTTTGGGGTAGCGATTTTTCCCGATGTCCAACCTAAACCTCCCCATCCTCCAAGTCAAGAATTGCTCACACACTGTACCTGCCCTCTCTGCAAGTTCAACAGTTCTGCAGTTTTCACCTAGGAATGATCTGGTACCATTACCTGGCTCCTTTCGTTCATGCAAGAGATTCAGCATCCTGCCTGCCTATACCTATCCATTCTGCTGCACAGAAACTGGTATCAAGTCAATGGGTTATCAAGTAAGTCTAAAATGGCATTTTAATTGGCTGATTAAATTTACAGGTAATATCACAGAGGGAGCTGCATAAATTTTAGCACCTCCGCCATCCTGGTTAATTGTTCACACTATTCTAAGTAGATGTGAGCTTATACATTGCAATATGCTAGCTTGCTTACCAATCTCCATTTTCACCTCCAGCCTCCCTGGTCTCAGCAGAGCCTCATCAATCAGGTCAGGTCTGTTGGTCATTCCTAAATTCAAAGTTAAAAACAAAGTAAGCATTACCTGAGCTTATTAAGTGGGTCTCCAACTCCTGAATACAGCCCATAGAGCTAAGAATACACCTCAAGAGTCTCAGGGAAACAGACAAAAGATACCCATCTCCAGAAATATTGGAAAAGTCATGCCCTGAAGTAGAGTCAGGGCAATAGGGATCAAACCTGCATCTGTGACTGTATCCACAGGAATCCTGGCATCAGAACAACTAGACAACGCAGCTAGAGTCCTTCATATGCAAATACATCAATGCATATCATTGGTTGCAAGTTTAAGAAAACTATGAAAAGCTTGTTATCGAAAAGCCAAAGGAAGAAATTTTGAAAGGCATAACATCAGCCGATTACAGCACCATTTCCCTTTAGATCTGCTACTGATGCTTGTTAAATAGCAGTCATTCGGTTTGAATCAGTCCAAACAGATCCCACACCAGCAAAAATAACTTGGTTGACCCACAGTGAGCCAAGTATCAGCAGTTTTCAACCAAACCCCATAACAGAGAAAGTAAGCACCATCATACCAATCACTAGGATGTTGTTGAGCTGCTCTACGCCATCAATTTTAGACAGCAACTGGTTTACAACTGTATCATGGACTCCAGTGCTACCCGCCATGCTTCCTCTCTGCTTGCAGATTGCATCAATCTCATCGAAAATGATGATATGCACACCGCTGTTTG